AATACAATGACATGAAAGTAAACATAATAATTATATTGGATGGACGAAACAAAATAGAGATGACACTAATATTAAAGCATAATGGCTATTACATACACAGTAGTATACACAATAAAACTTTTCATTAGTTTGGTTCTGTTAGGTATACATAAAAGTAGGTTGAAATACATATCTAAGCATTAATAATCTGATATCGTAATTTGAAAGCTTCATTAATATATTGACAGAGCATAATTGTTTCTTTATTTTTATCACTTTTTAATAATTGAGTAAACTTAAACATACTTGGTCTGTTTCTATAATAATTCTTAATATATATTTTTCTTAAATTTTCATATGCAGGACACTTAAACACAAAATGGAACTCGTCCTCAATTTCATTTGTATTGCAAATTAAACAATATCTTAAATTTCGCTCTACTCTTTCACGTGAATATCTACCTGTCTGTATTCTAAGATTATGAGCTGAAATACGCAGTTTTGTCAAAGCTATTCTTAGTTTTCTTGATACAATATTTTCTAAATAAGGTGACATTTCAAAACTGTCCTTTACTGATTTATATAAAAATAATACATCATTACAATTAATACTAGCTCTCCATTCTTGTAAATATTCATCTATTAATCTCTGTTTAAAAACGACAATAAAACAATTTTGATTAACACTTAAAGGGTTTAACCATACATAAAAAAACCGTATTTTTCTAAAAGACTTCGTACATTTGCAAACCAGTTTGTATACCCTATATTTATATCAGACATACACGAATTAACAATTGTAGTTATAATAATATTACTTGAACTTATTATCTTAAACCAAAATTTTACAATTCGAACATATCTGTTTATATACAACGGATATCTTCCAAGTTCACCATACACAGCTGCGTTACTAGTAGATTTTCTAACACCAAGAATAGTTTTACAAAATTTCAAATGAATATTTTCTAACTTTTTTGATTTGTGAAAACCCCATACTTCACTTGCATACATTAAGATAGAACCAATAAAAGAGTCGAACAACTGTAGGGCTATTTTTGGTTTTGTTTCATATTTTTTCAAATTTGCCACTAAATTATTTAGGGCTTTTAAACTTTTACCATATAAAGTTTGAGTATTTAAGTTAAAATTTCCTGTATAATTCAATGTAACACCTAGATAATTAAAATCATTTACAATTTCTATATTATCTTGACCATAAAACCATTTTTCTCCTGCTCTTAAACCACCTCTCTTACGAAAAACTACGATTTTGGTTTTGTTTACATTAACTTCTAATCCCCATTTATTGCAGTATTCATGAAGCTTATTTAATGAATTTTGAAGATCTAGAGGATTTTCATCAATTAATACCATATCATCAGCAAACAAAAGTAAAATTAGGCAAATGTCTTGAAGATCTATACCAGAATTTAAGTTATTTTGCAAATAAAGTTCTAGATCTTCAATAAACAAGGAAAACATAACTGGGGAAATTATCTCCTTTTCCCTCTCTTTTTGTTTTTCATATTATCTTAATATTAGGTCCATCCTTTCACTGATTAAATTCCCTCTCCACTAATATAAAAATCCAAAATATCAGTTTACTATATCCAACAAAAAACACTCAATTTCGAGAGACACAAAAACACGTCTTACACCTTTCGCGCCATTATAATAGACTATATAAAACCACCTTGATGTCCAAATATTATGCAGTCTATGCAACATATCTTTAAGACTTTATTGTGCTTTCTTTTCCGTGTTTATTTCGTTATTTTGCACCATATGTCTACTGCTACTTACGCAGAAAATGACATTTTTCGTATATTTTGACCTGTATTAGGTTATTTACCTGCACTATATGTGGCGCTTGCAGTGTATACACTACTTTCTTCGTTCACTTCACAATGTTTTTCCTTTAAAATAAAATTCAGAGTTTTCATGAAAATAAACATATATATAACTATGTGTAAAATTCTGAAGAAAACCGTTCTGTTTTCGTCCTAAAAATTATTCTAACTCATATTGACAATTATATAGCATCATGCATGCATGTTGAAATATGACATTCCGACAATTAAAGCATTGACAATCGATGAAAACTCCTAAACCCCCTCTTAAGGTAGGCTTATCAGCCGTACGTTTACAAAGTTTATATTAATGCAAAATATGGTATGAGACTTTATTTCTAAGTCTTTCACGAACTATATACTAAGTCATGAACATACATACATGTATTTAATTGAAAACAATTAGAATAAGCACAAAGAATTTTTAAGCTTTACTAGTGGAGGTTGAGCATTATTCCAGGAACAAACTGGCACGCGAGAAGAACCATCGACCTTTCGTTATCTTGCTAGATAGCATCCTGACAAGAAAGTACCTCTGTTGGGATTCGAGTCCACAGCGGTAAGAGATCGGTACAATAACAAAGCCAGTCTTTACCCTTTCGCTGCCAGAGGGTTTTTTATTGATCACCTAGGTGCCAGAAGGATTTTTAAGAAATCACTATAGTATTAATTGATATAATTATTATTATTTGTTATAAGTATTATAATAATTATATAAGTTTCCAAATCTGCTAGTATTATAATAATAATTATTGTCGATGGTATATTAATAAATTATTATTATTATAGAAACGGCAAAAGCCGTCCATATGGCAAATACGCCGAAAATAATAGGGACGGCATATGTCGTCCCTATGGCAGTGAAAGGATTAAGGTAGAACATATATACAAAATGTACATTATTTTTCATGCACAAAGTTCTATTTAAATCAAACGAATACACATTAATAATCAGATGTAACAATGTCAACTTCTTCGACATAAAAAATGTGAAAAACAACTCATTCTTTATGTAAATGTAAATCATACCAAAAATCAAGTAGTACACGAAATCACGCAGTCAAAACAATTACCCTCAAGTAAGACCAAATTAACCAACTAAAATGAAAACGTTTAACAATACACATTGTCCAGGCCTCATTCTTGATCTTATTCTGTAGTTATATGGACCAGACTTAAAAGATAAACCTATTGTAAAAATTGTGCTATGGACAACGCATATTTCGTACATAAAACAATGTCATTGCTATCAAAAAAATTGAAAGTATTATAAAATTAACAGCACAAATGTTATTTATTAATTAATTTATTTATATACTTATTCATTTATCATTATTTTATTATTATTATTATTATTATTATTATTATTATTATTTTTTCCATTAATTTATTAATTAATTAATTTATTTTTTAATTTATTTATTTATGTACGTTTTTTATTTATTTATTTATTTATTCATTTATTTATATATTCATTAATTTGTTTATTCATTTATCTTTTTATCTTTTTATAATTATTTTTAAAATTTATTATAATTATACAGTACAGGACAATGTTTTATGTAAATTAAATGTTCTATTAAACGATATAGTTCAAAATGCACCATCATAATATTATACAAAACAATGTTTATAAAATATGTTTTACAAAATAAAATACTGTTAGAAACGATGTATGAAATAATCAATGTTAAGAAACCTCATAATGATTAAAAGCCCATCGTGCCATAGAAATGCTATCATTTTTATTTCTCCAAAACTTTCATTTTTTGATATTTTGTTACAGTTTAAAAAAGAAAGAAAACATATTGCCTCTGTTCTAATTTGGCGTAAAGGGTTAAGTCAAGTACAAATAAACAGTAAAATGACCTACTCTTTAACTGGCGAATGAAAACGAAGGATATTTTCAACTAGGCAACACAATCAGCCATGATTGAGAAAAGTTTCATCATAATTTTCTTAGAAAAACTTTATTAATAAGAAAAACCGTTCATTATCTTGCAGAGTTGTATGAACATCGTGGAAAACTGAAATTTGATACTTCTAGGATCATGGGAAACAAAACATTGGTTCCCGTCAGCGAATCGGTATAATGTGAAGATAAATTATAAAAGGAAGGAATACAATTTCAAGATTAAACTTTACTGAAAATGTTTTGCAATTTTTGTAATTTTTGTTTAGTGAGTGAGTGATTGAGTGTGTTTCATTCATTCATTCATTCATTCATTCATTCATTCATTCATTCATTCATTCATTCATTCATTCATACATTCATTCATTCATTCATTCATTCATTCATTTAATCATTCATTCATTCAATCAATCATTCATTCATATACTCATTCATTCATTCAGTCATTTATTTATTTATTTATTTATTTATTTATTTAATCATCTATACTTATTTGTTAATAACTCGTTCGTTCATTAACACAACGCCTTGCCCAAAAACAAAGAGGTCAGTCAAATTTAGTATTATATTGAATATAAGAATCAAAATACAAATGTGCCGACTGGCTTTTTGTGTTGCTGTTGTTTGCTGTATTTGTTATCTTTTCTTTCAAGTAATCAAATACTTTTCCACAGTCCAGACCTCTTTTCAGATTGATAAAACATATGGTACGGACATGGTACACAATAATCAATTGTTAGTAGATAAGAAATAAATACAAGACAGTTTTTCAGTAAACAAAATTAAATGAATCTAAGGGTATTAAAATTGCACGAAAATAGGGATATTCTGATTCGATAATTCCGATTTTCGTTATTTGCTTTTCGTATAAAGAAATCGGCTTTGCAATGCTTTTCAGGTGTTGTGCGATGGTTTTTGACATTGCAGGAATTTATTTTATATAGCAATCTAGGAATGTACGCATGCTGAAACTGCATGTCTCCTGATGAGCCAAAATATCTAAAAAAATAACTTTCAAAATTATGTGCTAACATATAATGAATTTACAATGAACTCACAAGCATTGGTTTATTTCAGGATATGTTTTACTTTGCATTTTCTTAAAAGCACGTCCTACAGAGTAATTTTTGATTTAATTACAAGTGAAACAATTAACAGTTTACCATATAACCGATTATCGCTATGAATGACCTAAACGAAATTACGGCGAAAGTTTTCCCAGAAATGAGTGCGTTTGTCCTAAATTTGGTTCAAATCCGGCACGCTGCGTACGATTAATGCGCGTTTATTTTACAATAGTCACCAGTAGTTGCCAGTCAGTGGAGGCGAAATGATGTTGATTTTATTTCTTTTATTAGGGATTTTTGTTTCGGGAGTGCATAGCAGGTACAATATTTTTCATTTTCTCGTGTAAATGATCATACATAGTTAAGGGAATTGAAAAAGAAATTTAAATATATTAATTCCACATTCACCTCTGAAACGATAATAATTTCCATCTTATGAAAGAAAACACATGGGATTTACGTCGTTAACGTACTCATAGTTTATGAGCTTGTTTATAAGTTTGATGTTTGGTACTTGACAAAATAGCGTGAAATATAAAATGATTTTTTACAAAAGTATCCAATGTAAACAAAGTTGTATTTGGACTTCCATACAAAAAACGTTATCACTTTTATTGTACTAATCGACAGATTTGCAACAGAAGAAAAAATAAAGTTCAGATAAATGGCTAATCAGCATTTATTTTCAAACTTTAACAAGATACAAAAAATAAATAGCTTTTCAAAAATGAAAATAAAGGCATTTGGGAGAGGGGCATAATAAGCCTTTATATGACATGTTTCTATTTAAATAAGACAAATGATATTCAGTTATAGATTAGTTTTTTTTTTGTTGTTGTTATTGTTTTCGTTTTTTTTTTTTTTGCTGATGCTTGGAAATGTGACCGTTTATATATCAATCTGGTCGCCTTATCTAAGAAAAGTGCGTTTACAGTAAAGTAGGTAAATTAACATTTAGTAAACAAAATTAGAGAAATTTCATAATGCGAAGGAATTGCTAGAAGTATTAAGTTTCTAACATCTGTTTCATGATTATGTTCCAAGAAATGATCCTATCATTTATATAGGTTAATCTTTATTAGTTAGCTTTTACAGAATTAAATTGGTCAGGCGCGGCGAGGCCGCATGACCAATTTGATTTTGTAAAAACTTGCCTGCTTAGTTTTTTGTATTATTTTAATAAACAGTCGAGATTTACTAGACTGATTAACAGTGTGCCGATTCACCAAAGTTAATGTGTTACGATTCATTTGAAATACTGCAATCCTATTGAAAAAAGAAGAATTTCAAACACTGTGTTGTATTAGACAGTTATTTCGGAAATTGACACAAAAAAATACCATGGCAACAAAAATTTAAAAAAAAATAAATAAAAAGAACAACCCCCCCCCCCAAAAAAAAAAAAAAAAAAAAACAACAACAACAACAAACAAAACAAACAAACAAACAAACAAAAAACATCATCTTACATTCTTTAACTTGGTTGTCTGCGTTTATATACATTTCTTTAAATGTAAATAAATTGAATCTTATAGACATATTTTATTATTATTATTATTATTATTATTATTATTATTATCTTATTATTATTGTTATTGTTATTATTATTGTTGTTATTATTATTATTATTATTATTATTATTATTATTATTATTATTATTATTTATTATTATTATTATTATTATTATTATTATTATTATCATTATTATTATTATTATTATTATTATTATCATTATTATTATTTTGGTTTATTTTGTTGTTGTTGCTTTCGTTTTTCTTGAGACTTGATATATGTTTAACATTGTTTGAAAACAAGTTTTATCGTTTTATAACAGATGTCCCATTCGTGTTATATTAAAATATTTTTAATAAAGTGTGTACACAGGCGTATCACCTTAGGGGCAGGATCTGACCCAAGAGTCTGTGGTCATGATTTCTGTGTTTATATGACCAGATTGGTAAATAAATGGTCGAGATGATCGGTTACTGAACGGGATCCATTTCAAAAGTAAGAATATTTTGGGCTTTCCCAAAAACCGTGGTTACAAAAACACACTTAATCTTTTTAAATAAGGGCAACAGTTTATTTTTTCATCGGCAGTGCACCGGAAAAAATGTTTGTACCGGGGTCAAGCTTGAACACATTTGGTCGGTTCCATTTGGCAACTTTTTTATTTTATTTTAGTTTATTTATTTATTTATCTATCTATTTATTTATTTTGTGTGTTTGTGTGGCCTTTTATTTGAATAACAAAGCCGCTAACTACACACATCCACACGTGCTCTTTTACCAATAATTTAAAACAATTCTTACCTTAAGCTATGATACATTTTCAGCGGTTACTACTTTGTCATAGCCCCAAACGTATTAAGATTTGACCAAGATGAGACAGTTGTTGTAAGTGTTTTCGGAGAAAGAAATGCAAGTGTTAAGGTAATGTATTAATTTATTTTATGTCATTGTAACAAGACGTTATTATTTACATCATATCTTTTATTATAGTTCAAGAAAATAATTGTCAAATTCAATTGTGATATTTTATTCTTTACACTAATGCAACACTTTCAACAGCAATCAAATATAATTTGAATTATAATGGAAGTGAGTCACACATAAATGAAACAGCTTTAAGACACTTTGTAGTATACGCTACAGCAGATGTATATATTTTAAGATACGGGACATAGGTGTGATACAATTTTAAGATATCGAATAACAGTGAGATATCTTTTATATGATATTTATTCACATCTTATAAATTAAGATCATCATTGGATCCAATATAATTAATTTAGCATCGATTTCATTGCCAGAGTACAAAAGACTCATATGAAATCTAGATCACATCCCATTTAGTCTCGTTTTCATTTCAAAAGACCAAAAGATGCATATTAAAAGTTTTATAAACATATATAATTGTGGTAGGTATTATATATTTGCATTTTGTTACCGTTTAACTTTTCATATTTATATTGATATACAAAATAGGTTTGGCTAGAGTACAAGGGGAAACAATTTTCGCCGAAAGATGTCATTGTTAAAGACCAAGGCGAGTAATTTACTTTAAATATCGAAATTAACTTTCAAAAATTTTATTTACTATTTATTCATTTTAGTATGTAAACAAAGTTATTCCTGTAAATGAGAAAAATAAATTAGCTGGATAATATCCAGTTACATTTATACTTGACTAGTTTTAGGTTTCAATTCTGACCGATATAACATATAGTAAAGAATGAGCACGATGGCCGTATGACTCAATTACAACCCGCAAATATAAATTATTATTGGGGTTTTAATTTGATAATCAGACACAAAGGCCGTAAATATGAATTGTTAATTTGGTTTTTTAATTTTAGAAACCCCATTTTATACGACTGTTAAAGTCACTGAAGACGATATTTTTACCTCCATGGTTCAGAACAAGCCACGCAAAGTCAAATTATTTTCAGAATGGAACGGATTGAAGCAATCAAGGGACATAATTCTGAGCTATCATACAGGTTACCTGATCGTACAGACGGACAAACCGATTTATACACCTGAACAAAACGGTATAGATGTTTTATTGTAATTCTTTTGTGGTTATTTAATGTTATTTTTAATAGAGATCTGTATTAATGTTCTTCAAATTTCTCATGCCTGTTTGCTTCAATATATCACAGTTATTTTATAGATTGTCTCTTATTGCTAAATTCCAATGCTGGAGGTAATGTCAATGTCTTAATGCAGATAAATAATTTCAAGGCTGAATTAAGCAAATATCACATAGATCTGCATGTTAAAAAACCCAAAGTGTTTCCTTTTTTTCAGTTGAAATAAGAGCTCTAGCACTTGACGAGTCATTGAAAGCTGTCAATGGTTGGCAAGTAGGCATGGATATTATTGTAAGTATACATATTCACTTTATGTAATATTGTCAGCCCTTGTACATTTTTAAGAATGTGGTTCTATGAAGCACAGTGAAACTAGAAGGCGTCTATGATCGAAATTTGATACAGTATGGACGAAAATTAACATACATATCTTTTTAAAGAAATGCGGCATTTACATTGAATGACAAATAAAACTGAACACTAAGGGGTTGTAACGACGGCGTCACATAACGCGAAACGTGTATAAAAGATATTTCTAGGTAGCGCACCTATCCTGCCTTGATATATTTTACTAGTTCACAGTTACTTGTATAGATCTTTATATCAAAATGGCACCATTATAGGCCTACAATCATTGTTCATCGTAGTTGTGTGATCAATTTAAAAAAATTAGTTATCGTACAGTTTTTCGTTTGTGGT